GCAGACAGCAGTCGCCCCATCCCTTCCTGCCTTTCTCACTGCTCTGGCAAAACCATCCTGAGCAAGTGCAGGAGCAAACCCCATCTTTCCTCCGTCTAACGGCACTGCTGAGGCACAGGAGAGGAGAGCGAGGGCAAGGCAGTGACAAACCCAAGGGGAGCTTGGCTGGACCTTTCCCACGCTGCTGTAAGGAAAGGCCGCAGCCTGCTGCCCGCTTCTCCCAAGCTCCCAGGGAAGGCTGCTGAGGAGCCCAACATCCAGAGCTGCCCCTGCTCTCACCAGCTCCACCTCCCACAGAGACCCTTCACATGCTGCTGTAGTAACATCCCCTTTTCTAAAGAAATTGGTTACCAGGTACTTGGGAGGAGGAGAGGAGATGGAGAGCACTGGAGGGAGCACGGAACAGAGCAGAGGGACTCGGGCTGAGACAATGCAGGGGACCAAACAGCAACATGACGAGGGTGGTCTGCACACACAGGTGAGGAGGAGGCCACGCCGCATCAAGAAACACCAACTCAGCGCTGTGGTGCCTGTAGGCTCAACCAGTCCATCTGCAAGAGATTGTCAGGAACACAGGGACTGGCAAGCAGGGGGTCCTTTCCTCGACCCGAAGAGTCTGACAAACCTCCCAGCTAGCAAGACTGCATCTCCCCAAAAGCCTTCTCATGGGTGGGGGGGGGGGAAGAAGAAACCTAAAGAGCCAAACACTTTGTCCTAAGCTCCCAAAAGCTCTTCTAGGGCATCTCATTTCAGGCCTGAGAAGACAAAATCCTAAGCAACCACAGGCACTACTGGCAGGGGGGAAGATCTGGGGATTGGCGCTGGCTTTTCAAAACGTGGCTCCTAGTTCAAGGTGAGGCTCTAAACCAGGCTGCCCACACCCCATCCTGTGCCTGCCTCCCCCGGCACCCCCGCTCAGGTACTGCAGCCCTCACACCTCACCTTGAGCTGGACTCCACAGGCACAGAGCGGATGGCCCCCAACAAAGGATGGTGAGGAGGGGAAGCCAGGGCTCTGCTCAGAGGAGGAGGGTGCTCCTGCACCCCCCTTTGTGGGAAGAGCTGCTGAGCACCTCAAAACCGAGCCTGGTGAGGCCTGTGATGCTTCAGAATGGCTCTCAGGGGTGCAAGGCAAAGTGCCCAGCTGCTGGGGAAAGGATATTTTAGAGGCATCCCTAAGAAAGGGATGGTCAAAAGGGTTATTTCCATACTGGCACTCAGGCAGCAACATGTGGTCTATCTGATGGGTGCTGGGACCCATGCTGGACCCCAACAGGAATCTACCGTGTGGCACTGGACCTGCACCACTGCATCTCTGCGGAGATGCCCCAGGCTTCAGGAGCCATGGCTGGCACCGCGTGAACCGCTTGTCCTGCTCCCCTTCCCAAGAAACGCTAGGGTCCAGGGGGAATATCGGGGGCAGTCTGGGGAAGCCACCATCCCCTGGCAGCTGGCTGACTCCTAACGGTGCTGATGCTCGTGCAGGGAGAGCAGCCTCATCGTGGAGGTCCCCAGCCACAGAGAACAGGGACTCACGACAGTCCTGTGCAGGGCAAGGAGTGGGTGGGGGGGGCAGCAACCAGAGCCCAGACCCTGGGGGACTCTCAGGGCTGCCAGCCAGCAGTGTTGGTGACTCCAGCTGTGTTCCTGCTAGTTCCAGATGTTTTGGAGCTGCAGCCATCCAAGCCTCTGACGGGTAACCTCCAGGAGAAGCGTTCTGCCCCAAAGCACTGGCTGGGTTTGCCTGGACCGGGACATTGTGCCACCAGGTCACTAGTGTGTTTGAGTGCAACGGAGGTGGGCAGCTCGAGCCCATCACCTCGCACCCGGGCTGGCTCTGACCATCAGGAATAGTGTCATCTACACGAGCAGAAGTGGCAACTTCTCTTCCAAGCACCTGGCCCAGGTTTGGCAGCTGAACTTCTACAGAGCCAGGGACATCCCAAACCGCCTCCTCCTCTAGCCTGGCTGGGTGGAACGGGTCCTGCTGTTCTGGTTGAGCAGAGTTGACCTCGGATGCAACGGAGACTAGAGCGACCACAGCACCTTGGCCTTGTGCACCAGGTGCCTGGGGCTGTGGTGGGGCTGGATGAGTTGCCCAGCAGCGCTGGAAATGAGCTGCAGAGCCGTTTCCCTCCACAGTGGGGGTCACCTCAGTGCCTAGCCTCTCCCCAGCCTCCTGCGCCAGCTCCTCTGCCACACTCAAGCCACGCAGAGCATCCTTCCACCACTGCAGCTCTGCATTGTCCACGCCGAGATTCAGGAGGGTCTGGCAGGTGTTCCCATCCCCTTTGCTCTTCTCCAAGAGGGTTTTGATAACGACCGTGAGGGAGTTGCTATTCTGCTTGGCATCATCCACTCCCTCATTCTGGCTCGGTCCACTGGGCTCAGTGATGAGATCCGGCAAGGAGCACTGAGGCACATTATCAGCGTGGGAGATGTATACGGATGCATCCTGCTTCATCATGGCCCCGAGAAGAGAGCTGGGATCTACAGAGGGCTGCTTTGAGTGCAAGTTTGCTTGTGTCTGTGATTCCACCTTAGTCTGGAAGGAGTCCAGGAAGTCTGGAAGGTCATTCCCATACAGGACTGCTTCCCCTGTGGCAAAGCTGAAAGGAAGCTGCAGGTTTCTCTTCTGCAGATGTTCCTCCCCTTCTTCATTCCTTCAGGGCAGAGGGGAAAAAAAAAAAAAAAAAAAAAAGATGGAAACAGCATAGGCACCTCCTCTGGGCCAGGCAAAACCACCCTCCCAACAGCAGGACAGGAGCTCAGAGCCCTGACCTGGCTTCCCGAAGGAAAAGGCTGCTGGATTGGGTTGGCCACTGGTGATGCTGGTAGAGAACTGGGGAGCCCATGGGAAGGTCTGCACGGCACAGGAAAGGGCTGCATGCCCAGGGCTCACCCCAGGCAGGAGTGAGAGTGTCTGCAACCACCTTCTCAGAGCTGTTTTGCTTATGTCCCCCTGCTACAGGAGGGCACGTGCCGTAAAGTGCCGACTGTGCAACCCAACCACCCTTTCTTCCACACACCCCAGGCAGCCCCACGGCCACCCATCAGGCGAAGGCAGCCGGAGACCCAGCGATACTCACGACAGGGCTCGCTGCCGGGCAATGATGCAGTCGGGCTTGCCTCCTTTGTACACCAGCCAGGCGTTGGCCTGCACCCACACCCAGCTGCCCTTCTTGGTCAGCAGCCGGAAAACCGTCAGCCCGCTCTCCCCTGTCTTCATCACTGGAGCAGGGAAAGAAGAGGCACCAACGCAGTCACTCAAGAGCTGTACCGGTGCCGGGGAGCTGCAAGGGCCCCCACGAACACACCCGCCCTGATGGCCCCCCAACACTCACTTCTCACGTGGTTCTCCGCACAGTACATCATGTCAGCTGCATGCACAAACTGGTACCCGGAACCCCTCCTGCACAGCTCCGTTTCCGTGTACCCCAGGACAACCTTACTCCTGGAAACAGTGCAGACACCTACTGACACCAGGGATGGATCCCCCAATTGCACCCCACCAGCCAGACGTGATCCCTTGCCCAGCACCCAAGGGTCAGAGCGTCCCACTTTTAGTAGTGCAACTCCATCCTATGCTGAGCTGCATCCCCTCTCCCACAGAACCCCACACTGGGTTGCTGGGCTATAAAACACAGGAGCCAAGAAGTGCTGGTCCCCATTTGATCTGCTCCCCGTGTTACTGGGGGCTGCAGAAATGCCCAGCAGTGGATGGACAAAAGCAACAGGCAACTTGCTGCAGGAGCTGGGTCAGAAGTGGCCTGCTCCCACAAGCTCTGGCTTTCTGCCAGGCACCTGCAGCCATGGATTTTGCCATAAGGAAAGCAGGAGATGCCTTACCGGGAATCACAGGCCATGGGAGTGAAATCCAGCTTGTGCTTTGTCTGGAAGATCAACATCTTGGTCCGAAGCTCCAGGATGGAGAGTGGCTGGAGGGGAGTCGCAATGGCGAAGAAGGCAAGCGCAGACCTGTCTGATGCCTTTTGCTGCTGCCCGAGAAGGAATTTCAAGCGCCCCCGGAAATTCAAGGCCTTAGAGGGGATTAGAAATGTGGGTGTGAAGCAAACAGGGTGATGGGAACTGGCTGTGCTCCCACGCTTATGGGAACAGGCTGGGGGCAGAGGGGTGTCCTGCTGCAGGGCTGCATTACCAGAAATCCTGAGGAGTTATCCAGCAAGCAGCGGAAGCGGCAGGTGAAACTCCTCTCCACAAAGGAGGGTTCCTCGGGATGGAGGTGCCCGGGTCTGGACATGGTGCTGCATCCAGCCGGCAGTGGCTGGTCGACAGGAAGGGCTGGGAAACCAAAGGGAAAATGAAGCATTCTAGGCTGTGTCCCTCAAACTCATGGCCCTGCAGATTGGCTCCTGGTGAAATCTTTGACGCTCAAGCGGTCTTCACAAGACTGGTCAGACCTTACCACAGGAAATTACCAGTTTACAACAGGTTTTGGTCCCAGCTTGCCTCTCAGATGGGAGCACGACAACAAGTTGCTCCCACTGAAACAGGATTTCAAACACTGAAAACCAAGAAGGTTTGGGGGAAGTGTTCCCATCCCTCCAGCACACCTTTGCTGTTGGCCACTTTTGGTGATGGGTGGCCGTGCCAACCCCTGGGATGGTTGCAAGTCCCAGAGGGAGGCTACGGGATGCTCCTCAGTACAGGGCTGTGCTTGGCAGCTATGAACGCCTCTGGGAGGGTTTTCCAGCACTGGGTGGCCGTGCAGAAGTGACTGGCTGGTTCCCAGGGACTGTTGCTGGGGACCACCCCCACACTCACCATCAGCAGTGTGCTGGGTGCTGCCGGACGCTGGAGCCCAGTGCAGCTGGCAGCGGAAGGCGGCTCTGTCATCTGCATGGATCAGCTCGTACACGCTCTGGTAGATGAGATCCGACTGGAATGACACAAGGGAAGAAGAGCATCAACTCCTGCCCAGCCTGGCAGAGTGTCTGGAGGAGGACAGAGCAGGAGGCTTTCCTCCATGGGTACTAAAAGTGCCGTGACTGAGTATAAACAACAGGGAAAAAGCAGCCAGCTTTGTGTGCCATGTGGAGAGCAAGGACCAGGAAGCAGCTGCTTTTGGGGATGGCAGCTCGGGAAGGAGGAAAAGGGAGCAGAGAGTAAGTCTGCCTAGGGAAATCGTGGGAACAGCCCAGAGCTTGGTAGAAGCAATAGAAACAGTAGTGTCCGAGTAGTCCTGGCTGCTCAGGACTGCCAACACTGCCCATTCCCCAGTGTCCACCCCACTCCCCACACTGGCAAGGCTGAGGTTCTCCTGGTGTCACCCAGCCCTTCCAAGGATGTTTCACACTGGCTCTGGCTCCTGATCCTTAACTGCAGTTCATGGGAAACCCCAAAACTCCAGCTCCCTCCCACTGCCACATGAACTCTTTGCTCTTCATCTGCCGGGTGAAGGCTGCAGAAGCAGCATTTGCCCGAACGTCTTAACTTCCAGTGTTTTCTTGGGACTAAATTCAGACAAAGCACACACCAGAAAGGCTGTGAGTTGTCAGAGGGGAGTTTGTGGGCTACACATGGTCGCTCTGCAACTGCACCAAGATCTCTCCCACATTCCCATCCCTAGCCACCTGCAAATAGGCAGTTTTCTTTTTTCCCCCCACAGGATCAATAATACATAATAATTTCAGGTTGATCAAAACATTTTGACCAAACCAAATTAATATTTTTTTTTTTTTTCTTGCTTGTTGGCATTCACAACCCTCCAAGAGCATGATTCATCTGAAAACGGACATCAAAAATGACCCAAGGGAGCTGGGAGGGGAGGAGAAAAGAAAGCCCTGGCATGGCTATCAGCTGGGACTGTACTCATCTGCTTACAGCCAGGAAAAACCAGTACCCACCTGATGAAAGCCCAGGTAGTCCTGCACAGTAGGGGAGATGTAGACGACGTAGCCATCGCCAGTCACCGTGATAACAAATCCATTGAGTGCCTGAAAGCATAAGTTGAGCCCAGAGTTACTCTCACAAGCTTCAATCCAGCTGCCAGAAGATGAACTTGTCCACGTGTAGCTTAAGCATTTCAGGATAAGAAGGGATCCTTTTCAACAACAAGGAACCCACAAATAAAGGAAAGCACCTTGTGACCATGTACGACTTAAAACCAACTAACCAGGATAGGTTTTGTTTGGGTTTTCGGGGGTTTGGGTTTTTTGTTTTCCCCCTAGTGTTAGCTGGATATAGGTACATTCTTCTGGGGCTCTGATTTCCTCTAACAAACCTGCCTACAAATTCAATAACAAGCAGCAACAGGCAGTACAGAGGACTGCTCTAGGCCATGCAGGAGCCTGGTGGCTCCAGGAGAAGCCTAGCATCAGTCCAAGCATAATGAAACCCTCAGAAATAGAGACCAAGCTGCAGTCAGTCACTTACCCGACCTATTTATCTTCTCGTTCATTTTAAGAATGACTTCCAAATGCACTTGGGCCTTGCTTCTCACCCTGAATTTTACAGTTAGGAGGTTATACAAGATTATTTCTGCATGTCTTCTCCCCATACGTTCTCCAATCACACCCCCCCCCCCCAACCTGTCTCTTCATCCTTAGCGCCTGAGCACACCTGCAAGGAGGTAACAGCATCCTGTTCCCATCTGTGATGAAGCAGGACAACAATCCCTTCTCAACTGATTTTGATCTTGGTCCTGATAAACATCCTCAAGAGGCCTCATTGTTCTTGAAGGCCCTCACTGAACTGCCACTATAAGACACGGTATGGGTAAGTTACTCTCCTCTTGCGTAAGTTCTAGATTATAGAAGACAAAGTTTTGCGTACAAAAAAATCCCTAATGTCTATTAAAAAAAACCATCTTTGTGCCCATACCATCTGCCAACTTATCTTCCCACCTTGCACTCTGCAGTTACATGTGCATGGCCTGCAGTTAAATATATACCAAACTGGTAGCTCCTTGCTTGAAAAAGACCAGACCCACAACAAATCTGAGAAATTATTCCCAACCTACGGGAGATCACGGCTGGGGCAGTGGGAGGGGAGTTTGCACGAAGCGAATACCCAAAAAGAGAGACAGGATAAAGACCCAAGGAAGTACTGCACTACATAGTAATTCCTGCCCCCTGCTCTTATCTGCAGTAGATTTATTTGTGAATAAAAGGAGAGAAATTAGAAAAAGAACACACTAAGTGGAAGTCTGGGTTTAATAAAGATGTGGGCAGGAGTCTCAGCAGGTCTTATAAGCATCAGGCCAGGACCTGCCACAGCTTGGCCACACTGAGCTGCCCGGGGGAACCCTGGGGACATGCCGTTTGCTTGCGACAAGGCTGGAGGGGAGGGTGCAGCCGCCCACACAGCTCCTTCAGCTCCACTCGTCCTCTGCCCCCACACAAGGAGGAGGCAGGAGCAGTCCCCCAGCAGAGCTCATGCCTTTGCCCATTTACAGTGACACTGAGCCTCATGTGGGCTGGCTTTTTTTAGTAACTTGGATTATTTGGAAGGCTGCTGGATTGAGCATGTTGCCTGATACTGTACAGATCTGGCTTGCAGTGGGACCGGTCCCTTTCCTTTGTGTGCTGCAGCTCCCCGAGGGGCCCTGAGTCAGAGTTTTCTGCAAATTGCAGTATCTGATTAAAGTCCTTTTTAGAGGAAAAAACCCCCAAACCCCACATCAGGCAGCTCAGCTGGGGGATTTCTGTCACATTAACACCTCATAAGCTCACCAGATGCCTTCAACCACCCGAGGCTGCCAATGGTCTGGTGGCTCAACAAATTGTTGTCATATGGTCCAGCTCAAGCCCCCGGGGAGTGCTGGGGAACAGCTTCATCACGGGACTGGGGACTGCTCCCCTGTGCCTATCACACTTGCAGACAGCTGAGACTGCTCCCAGGAGTAAAGCCCAGAAGGGAAGCTTCACGTGGTCTAAGCTTCATCACCAAAGTCACACTGGGCTCCCAGGAGTCACCACCTCAGCAAAATCCCCCACGGGAAATACATGTCCATGTAAACCACGTGGGATGTAATCCATGTCCATGTGGGCATTTGTGTAAGGCTGTGCAGGGGTAGGGTTGAAGGCACCAAAGTCAGACTAAGGAGAGCCAGGCATCTGTCTGCTGGTGTTTGGAGAGGCGAAGGAAGGAGAAGACGACTGAAGACCCAGAAAGCACAGCCACACATGATGTCAGGAACACAGCCATGGAAAGATTAAAGGTCTTGCACTGGCTTGCCCTGCAACCCCAACGAGCAGTACGTTTTGAGTTACCATGCCCAGCTATTTATTCAGCAACCAGCCTTTTCCTGTGACCTTCCTATCCCATTTCCTTCCAGCTTACATTATAAATTGCAGCCCAAACAAATAATATTCTGGCCAGGTGATTCACCAGCTCCTTGTTCTCTGAAGTGCAGAGAGCTATTTCATTAGACACACACTGGCCTTGCTACAAATCAAAGCTCCCAACACCTACTGATTTTGTCCACCACTGTCTTTTAAGATGTGTCTTCCCCTCTTCCCACCCCTACAGACTGAATCCAGGCTTTTTCCACCCCAGGCAGGCTATGAACTCATCCTAGGGAGCTTATGCAATGCCCAGGTAGGGCAAACAGTTCCCAACACATGTTTTATCCTGCGGCTATTGTCATTCTCCTCTTGGGATTTACTACAACACAAGGAACCCACCACCTCGGAGACTAATCAGGGATGGATCCCTACACTGCTGCACGATACCCCTGCACCTCTTGGTTGGGATGGGTGAATGTTGGGTCCATGAGCTGTAGCAGGTCCCAAGGCAAAATGCCAGCTTTGGGTTCAGCGACAGCCAACGTCTGCAATGACAGCACCTGGCGCCTTTGTGAGAAGGGCACAACCCATCACCCTGAGCCCTGCTCTGCTGACGGATGCAGTTTATGGTACAGCCACTGAAGAGCAGCCAAAGGGGCAGCAAGCTGCAGTGAGGGCATGAAGGGGCTGGGGGATGGGGACCCGTCCCAGCCAGTGTCACTGGTCCCTGTCCTGGTGTGCTCAGTGCCTGCAGCAATCACAGCAAAGCAGCTCTTGGCAAGCCAGGGCCTCCTCTTCCTCCGCAGATGGGACCATGTGCTCCATAGCTGCTGTACACTTCAGACGACAGGGACCAGCCATTGTGCCCAGCAGATAACGGGAGCCAAGGGAAGATCCCAAATGACTGAGCTATGGCACGATACCTGGAGCAGCAGTTCCCCCTCAGGAAATGGCTCTCTGTCGACCTGCAGGTCCTGTCGTCTGTTCCCTCCTGAGGCATTGGGCTGGTCCAGCATGCAGACACCAGCACCTGTTGCTGCAAGTGAGAGGGCAAGAAGTCAGTGTGGAAGAAGCAAGCCAGGAGCATCTTCCTCCTTCTCCCCACCCCAGTGCTGCTCGTGCGTGGCTGCAACACGCTACCCAATGCGTGGGGACCCTCCTCAGTGGTGGCTGGAGCCACCCTTTACAGAGCCATCCCCAGCTTGCTCAATGCTTACTCTAAGAGATTATTTCCCCTTCTTCATCCCATCTCTGGGAAACTTTGCTTCTGCCAAGGTCCAAGGCAGACACACAAAGGATAGAGGGGAAGTGAGCATTTCTGGGCAGCCCAGGCTTGGAAACACCACTCAAGACAGCAGGAAGTCTTCAGGTTAGAGCCTGGTGGAGCTGAAGGTGGCTTCAAGCTGCCCCAGTGCCACCACATCTGCTTTCCTTCCCTTCAGGGCCAAAAAGACAGCGGCAAACCTTCCCAAACCATCTGCCATGCTATCAAAGCACCCATATTTTTTCTCCCTTCCAAAATAATTCCAAGCCTAAAAAAATTTCATCTGAAGCCACTGATTTGAGATATTTTGCTTTTCAAACCAACATGCAAAAGTATTTTCCCTGACAGATCTGCATTTTTGTATTAACAACCAGACGGAGGTCAAAGCGTCGCTCAGATCTGTTTACACGTGGAGCCTGGGTGACAACGAGCACTGGCCCATGTAGGCTCTGAGCAACCAGGAGCATGGGTGGAAGTCATTAGCTGAAGGCTTCACATGAGGGGAGACAGAGGAGCCACACTGTTATGGTCACACAGGTTTAAATAAAACGAGAGGATGCTCTGAACCCATTAAGCACCCACCATCCCTGGAAGTGTTCAAGGCCAGGCTGGATGAGGCTTGGAGCAACCTGGTCTAGTGGAAGGTGTCCCTGCCCATGGCAGGGGGGTTGGAACTGGATGGTCTTTAAGGTCCCTTCCAACCCAAACTGTTCTGTGACTACGAACTAGCCTCAGTCTCTATGGCTGATAGAGATGGGCTGCTTCAGCCTCCCCGAAACCTTGAGTGCTCAAGCAGCAGTTGCATCTTCTGCCTTTTCCATCCCACGCCCTCACTCACTGGAGCAAAGTCCAGCTTGTGAGCTACTCCCACAGGACATGCCCTCCCCTCTGGGTCAGGGTAGCCCATGCCACAGACCTGCACTGCCCCAGGCATAAGCTCACATTCTCATTTCTGTAGGGGACCATCCTTTGCATAGACACTTCCCAAACCAGCAAGAGGTGGATCAGCCTGGCTGTGGGACAGGAGACCTCTGGGAAAGATGAGGCTCAATGCCAGGAAAGCAGTCACAGTGCTCAGTTTGTTCATCAGTCAAGAAAAGGCATGTCACCAGGAGTTTCAAAAGGCGGGTTTGAGGCAGTCACCAAGCAAAAAACCTCCTTGCACAATTGCCAAGCGACCCCCAAGGAAAAACATCCAAAGCCCATCTGGACAATGGATATGGCTTCAATTTGTACATGACAGAGTGGAATAGTTTCAAAATGAAACATTGATCCTTTTTTAAAATTTGAATTCTTTCAAAGGGCTGACTCCTCTCTAAAGCATTGAAATGAGGCAAGCTGGCAGGAAAGTTCAAAGAGAAACCAAGTTCTTCCAAAACAAAGCTCCAAAAGGGCAGAGCGCGTTTTGAGAGGATGCACGTCCTGAGAGCACATGGTCCCCAGCTCTCTCCCAGTGTCCACCAGCAGCATCTGCAGGAAGAACAGCAACGAGCTGGGGGGAGCCACTGTGGGCTCACAGAATCCAACACAAAACACCTTTTTGCTCATTGTGTGTTTTCCAGCAAAATGATTTCTTCCAACTCTGCCCCCACCGAGAGCCCCGGGTCCCTCAGCCAGATGAGGTCACGTCTCCAAGGGCCTGGTGGCCAAGAGGAGCTGAAAATGACAGGTCTTGTCTGCTGCAAGGCAGGGAAAAAAAGCAGGTGGCAAGCCATAATAAAAGCTGGATAATTCACCCCCTGTTTAAGATATTCATTGTACTGGATCATTACATGTTGCGACGTCCCTTCTACACGAAGCAGCTAAGATCACAAAGTTAATGGGATTAAAGGAACCAGTCCAACGTATATACATGCTGAGATACACCCACTGTAAAAAGTTACTACAGATCGAAGGAAGATGCACCTTTGCTGTTTGTGCCCAGCATCTTCAGTCTCCTGCTGAGCGTCTTAGAGATTTAATGGGAAATAATGCAAGATGAAAAAGACCATGATAAAAGTGATCTGCAATTACTAGGCAAGTTCTAAGCATTTGCTGAAGCCATTTGGTGATCATTTGTATTTTCAAAGTGCTGGGAGACGGGCTATTGGTGTGTAACGGATCAGACAGGAGGGAGAAATCCAGCTCTGCCCTGAACCCCTGCTCCAGCTAGAGCACTGGAGGAGGCTCCCAGCTGCTGTTGTGAACCCCAAAGACTGCAAGGCTTTACTCCAAAGAAAGCCAGGGGAGATGTCAGCCAGAATCAGTAACATTTTCAGCATTTATGAACCTGGACGTGTCCTGTACATTCCAAGAGCATCCTTTTGGGTTGGTTCTTGCCTCCACACTGCAGAGCTTAGAAACTTCCTTGCAGAGGCAAGACCTCAAGCATGAGATAAAAAGAAAAAAGAGCAAAGGGATTTAATCTTTTTGTTTTTTGCTCATCACATTCACAAAGAAAAACACATCAATGCAGCCATGGAGGCTAACACGTCCCTTGCCTCCAGCATAAGAAGTTATTGGTAAAAAAATCCTGGGGTCAATTCTGCTGTCATGGACAGAGTTACACCAGTGCGAGATTGACAGGCTCCATCCATGGCAAGCATTTATCTTTGAACAGACCCCAGAGATGCCTGGCATCAAGAAACCAGGAGCTCCCAGCTCTTCCAGCAACACCAAGCCATGCACAAACATTTTCTCCTTGGAACCGATCCCAAACACTGTCAAAGTAGCACAAACCTTTGCCTCAGCTGTTTAATAATGGCATTGTGCCAAGCAGAGCAGGCTCATGCCATCCAAGTAAAACAGGCAAATGCTGAATCCACAGATTATAAACCTATTAGAAAGTCACCCAGGGTTTTTCTGAGGAGCAGAAACATCCACACCAACTTCTCCCACCTGCTGCTGCAAACACCCCCACATGGTCTGGCAAGATCTTGCTCAGGGAGGGACTTAAGCTTGACTCCTTTCACTGCATCAGTTACTTCAGGTCCAGACCCCTGCAGGTGTCTATTCTAGACCTCACCACCTGGGTGAGCTTAATCTAGGAAGAGGGCATGGCAGCATATCCTCTTCACCCCACAGAGCATTTTAAATCCCATCTTTCTTGCTGCTCTCACCCTTGGCAGAGCCACATCTGCAACCCCCAGCATCTGCTTCTTTTGTTACATGAACCCCAGCACAGATCTCCAGCTAGCTGGAAGTTTTCCAAGCCACAAATCCATCCAAACTTCCATGAGATCTCACTGTTTGCAGCAAGTAAAGCTCCCATCAAACCATACAAGGCCCAGAGCATCACAGCAGCACTACACACGTAGAGACAAGCTTTTCTCCTTGGCCACTTACTGTCAAAGCGACAGGAATCAGCAAAGCACTCCAGATTTACCTGGGAAGGCCATCAGACATAGGTCTGAGTAACAACCACTGGAAATTGGTTTGCAGACAGAAGCTCAGTGCAGGTCTGGTGGTGAGTTTCAGCTATTTTATACATAAGTGACAAAACCTTTAAGTGCCTTTAAGGCAGGTTTTGATAGCACTGGAGTTATCATTACTATCTACCAGCACTCAAAGGCTGGATGAGCAGAGCCTGGAAGAGACCAAGCCCTGAACCTCCACCTTGCTATGTTTTATCCATGCAAGCTTGGGCAAGATTGAAGCTTTCCTGATGCTCAAAGCAGGCTCTGACCCTGGGAGCATGGAGGTGCTTCATGTTGCCCAGGAGAAAACTGAACATAGGACTGCTCACCTACTGCAGGTCCTTGTCTGAGGTGTAGCCAACTGCACAGGTCCTTCTCCGCCAGCTGATGCTTGTCCATGGCATCTGCATGGCAGATGATTTATATTGACCTGGGCCAGCGCCACAGGTACCACGTGCCTTTTTATGTGCCTGCTGGTTACTGCAACCCTGTCCACTAGCATCGGAGGGGGGTGCTCCAGGAAAACCCAAAATTCCTGGGAAGTTATCAGCAAAACCTTCATGCTGGACCCATGCCAGTCTCTGAAGCCATCCAGGGAAGGCTGTGTGCTGGTTTTCCTGCTTCAGATGGCTAGGCAGCAGATCAAAATGGGATAACACCCCCAAGAAGAAACCAGCTGAAGACCTGTCACCTCTACAGGGCCTTCCTGAGATAGTTTCCAAACCAACAAAAGCCAGATCAGGGGCAGCAGGAGGAAATACCAGCCGATATGGACATGCCATGGAGGACCACAGGATTGTTCAGAAGCAGCATTGTCCATCTTATTTCTTATCAGTCTCTCCCCAAACATTTGAAATGATAATAGAAAAAAAACAGCCAAGAAACCCACGACCAGTAACAAAAAGCCAAACCCAGTTCGGTTCATCTCTACTCCCAGAAGCACCACCACACACCAGACTGTACAGGAGACAAAGCAGAGGAGAAAGCTAGCAAAAGGACACCAAATAGTGGGCAGCAGCTAATTCCTCCTGCCTTTCACAACAAGTGGTCTATCTCCTGCCCCAAAGACTGGAGTATCTGCTCCAAAACCAAGAGGAGACACAGCCTCAGATGGGCTTTTTGGCATAAGCTGCGTTTCCTGCAAGAACCATCTCTAGTGGTACATGGGGTTTTTACTTTTAACCTGTGACACAGCCCAGACTTGATAGAAATGCTTGAAAAGAGGAACTCATTATCAATATGGCACCAATTAAAGCTGCCTAGAGACAAGGCAAGGGGCTTGGGATGCTGGTGGAGAGAGGCAGCAGAGGACAGGGATTCTCACCAGGCAATGCCAGGCTCTTCTGCTGCAGGAGAGGAGCCTGCACAAAGCAGAAAGCAGACGACAGCAAAACTGAACTGAAAAGCACAGTGCAAGGGCTTTTGTCACCTCCCCCCTCCCCGAAAGGCCTGATGTGATACATCATAAGCAGGCTGCCGTGCCTTACCGATGACACGGGTCTTCACCAGGCAGGGCTCGAACCGAGGTCGACCTTGATGAATCGGTGGGATGATCTGAAGTCAAACAAGATGAACTTCAGGGCACACACAGGCAAAGCGGGGGGGCTGGAAATCAAAGGCACAGTGGCCAAATGGGAGTAATTGGTCTGGCAGAATGGGTCTCCAAGGCAGGGATAAGGCTGCCATCGAAGGGGAATCTATGCAATGATGCAGCTCTCAGCCTGGGAGGCACATTGTGCATGTGTCCAGTGGGAACGGCTCCTGCTTGGAGGCAAGGATCCCAGCTGGGGAGCTCAGCACAGGGGTCTCCTCCTGGGGACCGGCATCCCCAGCTGTAGAGCCCCCAAGGAACAGGTTACAAGCCTGGCATGGGGCAAAAGCTACGGGAAGCAAGTTCATTCAGTCTGGAGAGCAGAAGACATAAGGACCCTTTAAGTACAGAAAGATGCTGATGGCTTCCTGCCCTCCACGTGCTCTGCTTTCAGCAAAAAAATGAGCCCAAGGCACTGGGGGTGAAATATGTCCCTGTCTGTATATCCTGACACCCCTCCATGCCATGCCATGTCCCCCAGCCCTTGAGCACTGCTGTGTGGCATTTAAGCAACCGCTTTTGTAAGTGGGTTATGAAAGCAATCCCTGGCAGCCTTACTTGCCCTGCAGCCTGCAGCTCATGTGCTGCTGGCAGGCAGGAGACCATGGGGACTACCCCCCCAGCCACCCTCTGCACCCCTGTTTTTCCTCCTCAGCCCAGACAGGTGCTAGGTGCCACAAAGTCTGGCCTGATCAGTAAGGAGGGATGATTGCTGCCTTTCTCTGACCATCAGTAGAGAAAGCAATGCAGGTTGATGCTACGCCAGCAGAGTCTGGGACAAAAGGACCTGCCGCATCCCTGAAACATCACATCTTGCCATGACGGCATTAGGCTGCCTTCCTTCCCAGATACCCAGCCTGCCTCTCAGATAGGAAGGCAGTGAATCCTATTCCCCAGCTTTGTCCCCCAAAAAGCAGACAATGGAGGAAGAGACACCCGCTTTCAGTGCGACTTTACCTTTGAGGAGCCCAGCCCCATCCAAAGCGCATCCAATGCTGTGCATGCAGCAATCAGGTGATGTGTAGTGTGTACAAGGGATCCCTGCTCCCCAAAGCCAAGGTCTGCAGAAAAACCCTGGAGCCCCCAGCACAAGGGTTTTCACCAGCAGTAACTATCTCAGATATACCAACAACTGCTGAAAATTCAGAGGGCAATCACTGCTGTGAATAGGAGTGAGATGCTACGTGCATATCACAGAAAAATTCACCAGAAAGCTCCTGGTGCCAAGAGCAGAAGCAAAACCACAGCAACTTCCAGCCACAATCCCTCACCCACTGCAAGACGCTGTACGAGACCACTATAGCAGAGTCCCTGCAGCAGCAGGGCTGCAGAGAGGCAAACACGAGGAGATCGCTTTTCCAGGCACATCAGCTCAACTCTCCATCCTGCACAAATGAACTGGGGTCTCTGGATATGAGGCATCACCCTCCATCTCAGAAATGCTCATTAAAGAAGTGTAATAGACCCACCACAGCTGAGCCTGGCCAGGCATGCGCAGCAGTAAACCATCAACATCCAAGACCCCAACTCTGAGGAAGAAAGAGAAAAACAAGCTGATGAGATGCCAAACAGTACAAGGGCTCGTAGGAGCAGCCTTGTCCAACCTGCCATCCCCGACAAACAGAGCAGCCCTGTGCAACACCTACTACCCCTGCCTGCCCAGGAGACACACACCAGCCCACTCATCCTGGGGATTTTCAATTAAATTTAATTATAATCTGCAGTTCAAGTTAGATGAGGGAAACATGGTTGTTCAACAAGACAGACACTGTTTTACCTAGTGCTCCCTTGACCATGGGCTGGTGAGAGCGGGACACAGGAGGGGTTTTGGACATGAAGGAGGGGTGGCATGGCTGCTAACAAGAAGTAGGTGGTGGAGATTTGCAGGTCTCAGGAGCTGGGCAGGCACACAAGCTGCTCCCCTCCACCCACAGCACCATTTCTCTGTCAGACACTCCCTCCAAAATTGATGGGGCCAAGGTTCTGTGATCCTTGCACTGCTCCTGATCTCCTCCCAGCCTCTCCTGAATCACTCACCTGCCTCCTCTCACAACTCCAGGACCAAACTAGGTGGTCTCACTTTCCCAAGGATGTTGCTTTTCTGAGCCACCAAGCACCCATAACTGCCAGAAAAGGATTAAATTTGGGTGTGCAGCATCCAAAAATAAAGGGGATTCCTTCCAGGAGGACCATGGATAAGATCTGTGTCATGGCAGCAGAAGGCCTGAGGGTTAGATGTCCCATAATCACCTCTCAGCAGCCACTGCCAACTCCTCCACACTCCTGGAGACATAGCACTTTCCTCCCTTGTTTTCCAGGCTATTTTCAGGCCAGTACCTCAGCTAAAGATCCAGCACTGATGCATTAAAAGGGGTCTGATACCACCCACAAGTCATCGTCATCCCACATTCAGGAGACAACTCTCCCTCGAGAGAGTTGGCTCACAATGGGATGCGAGCCACGCAGTTGGGATTGACTTCAGAAGGTTTTCATCTCTTGCAACATGGACACTCACCCATCAAGTAGCTCTTCACCTTCAGGTATCCGACAGCAAGACGGAGGACGGAGAGCTTATCTAGCCTGGTGCACACATCTTCGTGAAAGGGCAGCAAGCCAGTCAGCTTGTTCAGCTCCTGGTTGAGCCTGTCTCTATGTCGCTTGGAGGGGTTGGACTTCACACCCTCAGGGGGTGGTGGTTTGGGGCTGGAAGAGGCAAAGGAGAATTTGATTAAGCTGGGTCTGTCCCACAGGCTCTTTCCAAACCCAGTGTTGGCTTTAGTCTACCTGTGACAATGGTAAAACATCAGGTGGATGAGGTAAGGCCATGCTCCAGCAAGCCTTCAAGGCAACAGCTGGAGGAATGGTGGCCATCCCAGCTGGTCACCTTGTGCAGCCTCAGTCATTATGTTCTCTGCTCTACGCACACTTTCTCCTATTCTTCCTCATCCCACACCCTTCCCAAGCAAGAGGTCTCTCCCTGACCATGCTCCACATGCTCACACCAGCTCCTTGAGGTGCTCAGTTATGCCTGCCCACGACCAAGTAGCTCTTGGCAATGAGCATGCTAACAAATAGCGAGAATGGAAAGTGGGAAGGTACAAAGATTTGTTTGTTTGAATTTATTTCAGTTAGCTGCTTCTAAGTTTCTGCTCAGAGACTGAATCCATTGCTCTACTTACTAATATTACAAAAAGATGCACATGCGAAAGTGCCAGCACTTGCACAGAGACACGCCATAGGGTGGTTTAGGGAACAGAACTTTGAAAACTGTAGATTTTTTAAAATTTGGGGATTTTTTCCCAGTCTTCTGATCCTTTGAGATGGGCATTTCCAACCTAAAACACCACCTGATGCCAAACTTGGGCTCCAAGACCAACCCTCAGTCTGCAGAAGGAGTAGGGTGCATAAGAGCAGCTCTTGCCTGCCTTAGGCTTATATGGAGCCCTGTCTCCATCAGCTGCTGCTATTTCACAAGCTACAGCTGAAGTTCCAGCCACAGCAGTTAGAGGTTAATTAGTGACTTTAATGAGTGTTGGCTGTCACCTTGTCTCCTTCGTTTTTTAATGCCAATTTGAATTTTCAAGCTTGAAGAAAAACTCTTCAGCCCTCCCCCTCTGTATTTGGCAAGATTGCATCCCCTAACATACAACCCATGTTGTTTTGATGTAATTTGTCTAACCACAAACTCCCTCTCTGCAGGCATCCTTGCTTCATAAAGCAGCTTCGGATAACAGGATCTGCCAGTATTTAGCAGCAATTTAAGCTCTCCCCTCTACTACCCCTCTTGAATCTCATCTGGCAGGACCGCTTGCATGTGTGACAAGAGAGGAAATGTGTATTAAATGAGACACAGCAAAGTGTTTATTGGACTTCCATTGCAGAGAGCTACCAAGGGGCAAGCGCTGCACCCAGGAACTCCCACGGACAGAGGCTTCAGAGTTCTCCGTCCTTATGGATGCTTTAGCAAAACAGCTTCCAGGTGCCCATCGCTGACAAGTCCATTCACTCTCTGCCAAGCAGCTACAAAGCTTCCTTGAGCTCTGAGCAAAGGAGCAGGGCCAGGAAAACCCCCATCACACACACTTACCAAGGGAAAGGCATTGGCTTTAGCACAACCACATTATTAGCCACCAAAGAATCTGCACAAGTGAGAATCTCACAGAAAAAGCAAAGCTTGGTCTAGGTGTCTAAAATCTTTTTAAACTCCCTGCCCTTAGGACTGTCTCCATCCACCCCACAGGGCAAAGCTCTGGCAGCCTCTACCAGCCCCAGGCACCATGCAAGGCCGTCCTAGGGAGCGCTGCTACCCAAGCACAACCCCGCGGTCCCACGAAGCAGCTCAACACCTACACAACAAGCAAGGAAAAGGCATTTTAAAGAGGTCTGAGTCCCCATCCTCTTTGCAAGAGCCCTACGGCGGCACAGGTTTACGAAATGGATGCGGTGCAAAACTCAGCATGGCCAGGCCACCAAGTTGACGGGGAAGTTGCCAAGAAAAGCTGCTGACCTTCATGTAGACAGGCCAGTGCAGAGCCATGGGCAAAGCTCTGCTCCCAGTAGGGTAAAGGCTGTGCCGCTGCTGCAGTGCTGTTTCTCCCCAACTGAACTTTGAACACAGAACCCAGAAGGAAGTTTATCACTTTTGCAAGCTGGCAAGTGCCAAGGGATATTAACTATTAACAACAGCTGAGGTTGCCTGAGCCTATGTATTGTTCTCTAATTATTTATTTTTAATAAATTAAAAACCCTGAGCGAACTGCATAGGGACTAGAGAACCCCCTAACTCCATCCTTCCCTCCCCACCTGGCTGGCTGGCTGCACATCCCACCATCCCTGCTCTGCCTGGCCTCTCCCACCAGGACCCTGCTGCAAGATCTGCCGTCACAGAGGAAAATAATCCCTTCTGATTCCCAAAGCTGACCCTGCAGCACCAGGGATCGAGGTCCCCTCTGCTCCAAAGAAACACCTTCTCCCGCATCCTTAACTGCGTGAATCTGGCCCAAACCCTCAGTCTGGCCACGCCAGCCCCACCACAGGGCTGGAATCCCTGCTCCCAGGTGAGCAGGAGAAAGGTTTGAGGCAGAGCAGCTACCCTTCACATCTTCACACTTTAAGACTCCCTAACAAACATCCAGAAGAGGCTCTGGCTCACCTTCTCACCATACATTTATGATGTTAATGCTCCCTCCTTCATCCCAGGCTTGGACTCAGCTTAACATCCCACCATATAACACTGATGATCCCTCTGCCATCCCAGGTCTGGGCTCAGCTTATCTGTCTCCCAGAAACATATATACCTTTCTCTCCTATACACCTGGTACCTTGAGGTCAGCAGGCTGATGTGACTGCAGAGCAGGTATGGGGGATGAAGGCATGGGGGTCCCAAGGTCAGGAAACTCCGGCAACACATCAGTGGGTACATTATAGAATGTTTTAGGTTGGAAAAGACCTTAAGCTCATCAAGCCCAACAGCTATTGAGCAGCATGCTAATGAATTATTGAGAACTAGGGATCTTTTAGTAAATACTGATTGCTGTACGATTGATTAACGCAGGCACTGAAACCTAAGCCAGCCTGCAGCTCAAACCAGAGGACAGCTGAGCATCTCAAGCTCCCCAGGCAGCTTCCTCACAGGAACACCACGGATGCAGGACAAACATGCTCAGGATTTTTACTTCTTCACCAGCATACCAGAACCCACAAAACATTAGCTCCAATTAACTCTAATTAAAACAGAATAGCCCAAGCACATTACTTCCCTCTATCTTTTCCTTCCCCAGTGCTGGCACCAGAGCAGTTTAACGCAGTTCCCTACAACCTGTGGGGCTCTCGCAGACCGGTTTTTCATCACTCTTCCCGGTCCCACACACTGTCCCGGCTTCCCCCACCTTCCCAGCAGCTCCCAAGCTGCCTCCCGCTGGTGTTACCGTGGGAAACACCCTCCCCGGAGCACCCACCTCTTCGGCACCGGCTTCTTCCTCTTCCTCCCGGCGTACATCCCGCCGGCAGCGCCGAGCAGGGGGAGCGGGGGGAATGTGCCCGGAGGCGGGCTTTAAGGAGGGTGGCGGCGGGGCGGCCCCGGTGCCTTCCCCGCCCCGGCCCCCCCGGGGACCTAGGATCGGCCCCCGGTGATGCCCCGGCCTGGGGAGGCCGGTCCCTGGGTCAGCATGCCCAGGGAGACACCAAATCCCGGGGAACACTGTGCCCACGGGACATCATCCCCAAGGGGCCATCGAATCCTGTGCCCACGCGATGCCATCCCCAGAGAGCCACCTAGGAAGCACCATGACCACCCGTGGGATACTGTCTTCAGAGAGCCACCGAATCCTGGGAAACACCATGCCCACAGACCACCCTGCCCAGGGAGCTACCATGCCCACGGGTCACTGTGCCCCAAAAGCCACCATACCCAGGGGTCCACCAAATCCTGGGAGTTGCCATGCCCACGGACCACCTTTTTTCCCACAAAAGATGACTACTTCAGAGCAGTTTCCAGGGATAAGGCATCCACAGCTTCTCTGGGCAACCTGTTCCAGTGCCTCACCACCCTCTCCAGGAAGAACTCCTTCCTGATATCCAATCTAAACCTCCCTGCTTTCAATTTAAACCCATTACCTTGTCCTGTCACTACCTGCCCTTGTAACAAGTACCACCTGCATCACTTCTGCAATTACCTACACTGACCATGACCTGGTCTTTTACAGCTCCATCCTCTAAGACCCCTTTGACATCCTCCCTAGGATGTGTAACCATCACCAAACGCAGGCTCCTCACTGTTCACGCTCTGTTTGAGATGTCGGTGTCAAACAAGCAGTTTTTGTCACCGATCAGGCTTGACCTCCTTGAGCTGTGGGAACAGCTCTCTTATTCCCAGGAATGATGGTCCTCGAGAGCCAGCCCATTGCTTTTCCTGGTCACCCTTCAGCATCCTGACATCCCCACAGCCTCCACTGCCAAGTTTTTCCTACCCTCTCACTGGGAAGACCCGTCTGACGTGCCAGCACATTGCAGACAGAGCTGTTAAGGATAGAAAGCCAGACCCAGGCTCATTGTATGGGTATTTTTTTTGACACGTTTGCAAATTCCAGGGATAAATTCTCGAAATGAAATGTGATCGCTTCTTGCCAAGGGGCAAAGCAAAAGCAGCTAATGGTACCAAAAATGTCCCAGGTCAGCAGAGCTGATGTCAGTTTGATGGGAAGTGTGTTAATACATTTGTTGACGACCTTCCTAGACTGTACACAGAGACCCAGTAACTTAGCCATGTTTTTTAGTACGGCAGGCAAAGATCCAGCTCAGCGCTGGAAACGGCACCCCAGTGTCTCCATGGTGTGGAGAAGGGAAGCTGTGGGAGGAAGGTGTCCCAGCTGTCAGCACCAAGGGCTGCCCAGCTCTCGGGTGTCTCGGTGGCAGACAGGACTGTGGGAAGGCAGTTTTCAGAACCCATGGGATGCACCCAGATTTGGGCAGCACACAAACGGTCTTTTGTTCAGTCAAAGCCCTCCAGCCCCTCTCTTTGCTCCCGATGCTCTCCTCTTGGACTTCTCCCCAGCTCCTACAAACCCCCAGTGCCTTTGCAAGGCAGCTCTAAGTTGCTGTCCTAGACCTACTGACAGTTTTCCTCTGGGAAAAGCCACCCAATTCACCTCTTTCCACCCACTGGGGCTGGACTTTGTGTCAGAGATGGAGCAAGACCTAGAGCAGCTCTAAACAAACAGAGTTCCTTAAGCATCTCCTGCAAGGCAGAGTCAGGCTTGGGGCACTGCACGTGTTTCTGCACTGCACCTGGAACCCTCCAGGTGTGTCTCTGAATGCAGCAGAGAGGGGTCTGTGTATTTCCCACCTGAGCTCCAGGCCCCAAAATCAGGTACTGAACAGGAGACAAAACCATACAGCTATATCTGTTTTCTCCCTGCTCACCTGCCTTGGACTGCTTATCACCCACTGTCCACAGACTCACAGATGTCCTGGTGGGGAGGCACCTCTGCCATCCAACCTCCCACCCGGAGCAGGAAAGTCATGAGGCATCAAAGTAGGTCAGCAGAAAGGTTATCACACGATCCTTTGGGTGAACAACTCAGGATGTCACAGGGCCTGTCCCTGCTTGTTCAAGGGGGCTCACCTGCAGGCAGGGAAGCTTTGAGATGCTGGTCAAGCACTCAGTGCAGGGCATAGCAGGAATTTGTACAACTGAGTGTTGAAAAAGACAGCAGCCCAGGCTGAAAAAAATAATCTCCCTGCACCAAAACTGGCCTGCTTGGACATGTCAGTTCATCTGGAGATCGGCTGCCCACTCTGCAGCCATGGGGAAGGTTGATGTCGACAACCCTGGGTCCAGATTTCACCAACTGTGACACTTGCCTGTGCGGCTCTCTCAAAGCAAAAGGCAGAAATGAGCATCTGTGGGTTTATACTAGTTCGCCTGTATCTGTCTGTCCTGCAGACATGAGGCTGGGAATAACTGATGGGTGAAGGGAGAGACGCTGGCTGTTGGGCTCTTTGAGAAAATTGCCTAAACCTGATCAGGGCAGTGTAGGGGCAATCCTTTGTCCAGCAAAAACTGGTAGAGCTGCCTTGTCCTTGATGATAGTCACCCTCTCCACCACAGGAACTTCTCACAGCCCCTTGTATGATAGCTAGGAGGGTTGAAAGTCTGTTACTGGCTTTCAGCAGGACCAGTTCCAGAGTATCTCTAGAGGTAAGTCTCAGTGTGATGGACTGAGTTCAAGGACAGTTAGGAACAGCAGAAAGGAAACCCTCTTGTCTGGTTCAGAAGCCATGGAGATGTTCAAGCTGAAAAGGAAAATAATAACATGTTTAGTATAACTGAGCAAGTAATTTGCTGTGCCTGAGACTCAGTGCTCAGCAGACCGATGGCATCTCTTTCCAGATAACTGCCAAAGAGCAACAAGAGTCGGGGGCAAGATGGGCCATGGGTGCCCTCCCTAAAGGAGCACCCAAGGGAGGTGACAGAAACATGGGCAGCCTTCAGTGACAGCACCGGGCAAGGTGAGCTAAGGAGTATGGTTCAGCCCAGGGAAGCCTAGGAGCAGCAGGAGATGGAGGCTGAACAACAGACAAGGCTGCAGTGTAGGTCCAAGGTCCATCTGGGAGACAAGACTGGGGACAAGGGTACCTGCAGCACAGGTCCAAGGTCCGTCTGTGCACAGGGAGGTTAGAAAGGGAGAGAGAGAGACACAGGCGAAGCTACAGCTTAAGACCAAGCCAAGGTGCTGGGGCTGACATTAAATGGAGCCTACAAATCCAGGAGCAGAGGGTGATGTTGGCCGGGGTCACTAAGAGCTGCTGATGCTTGCAGAGCCCTGGCAGATGGTCCACTAACATCCCTCATTGAGAGAAGTGTCTCTTAAGAAGTGCTGTGGGCCACCACAGGGCTATGTCAGGGCGACAGGGAATAAGGGCAGGGACACGACATAAGGTCTAGGAGCTGGGAAAGAAATGGGACATCATGAAGATGCCCCAGAGGCTGGATGGAGAGGGGGTGGGGGTCAATGCTGAGGAATCCCAGGGTTGGGGGAAGAGGCCCCACAGCCTCTGCCAGATGAGGCTCAGGAGAGGGCTGGAAGTGTGGCCATCTCCCCAGCAGCACCAACAAGGAGCTGCCCTGCTCATCCACAGGTGATAGAAGTCCCCTAAGAGACAACAGGCTGGGAATTATGTGACAGTTGAAACCAGGAAATAAATAGGTGAAGAAATCTGATTATGGAGGAAGAAGTTGGGCAGAGACTGGGCACAGGTTAGGGAGCAGCACTGAGCCCTGCCACGTCAGCGGAGCACGGCAAGAACTAGGTGACAGCTCAGGCTGGCCCTGGAGTGGCAGTGGATGTGCTCTGCAAGCCAGCACGAGGCAGCACTAGGCCTCCACTTGCTCCCTTTTCTGGAGGAGTTTCTTTTCCTGCAAATGAAAGAAACCCCAGCCCAGGGAGCACGGTCCTAAGTGTGTAGGGGACACGTGGTATGGGGCACAGCCATCCCTTCCCACACTGACATCTCCTTGATCCTTCCTCTTCCTCCCCATTTCCACGATCTCAAAGCTCGGCCAAGGGCTGAGCACTAGAAAGCCAGACTCCCGTTCATTCAGAGGTTTCTCTCATGTTTTCCACTCCTTCACCAATAGGGAAGGCCAGGATGGCTGGGCAGATGGATCCTTCCAGACACAAAGGAAATTTGCCTCAACACATCCCTCGCATTCCT